CTGGTGTTGGTGTGTGTGCCCATGTCCGAGCTTCCAAATTTCGCCCCAGGCCGCGGCCGGCGACGATCTTTGAAGGTCTCCTCGGGCCGCACGACATCCAGGCCCCCCCGGCGGGGTCCGAGCAAGTGGGGCCCGAGGACCGCGTCGCCGATGCATCGGCGATGCAGCTTGACGTGGAGCCTGACTTCCTTCGCGCCAACTGCGCCCATGCATCGCCGCCGCCGCCGCCGCCGCCGCCCATGCGTCGGCGATGCGGCGCGGCCCATGCATCGCCGCCGCCGCCGCCCATGCGTCGGCGATGCGGCGCGAGGGCCTCTGAGAGGCCCCGCCGCCTCCTAAGAAGGCCGCCTCCTTCTCGCTTCCCTCCCCCCCCCCCTGCTCGCCGCCGAGGCCCGCCTCCCCGCGACGGCGCGCGGAGGGAGGAGCAGGAGGAGGAGGGAGGGAGGGAGGTAGGGAGGGAGGGAGGGAGGGAGGAGGGAGGGAGGATTTCAGCACTGTGTCGGGGCCCACCCTCTGACAGACGATATGCAGACGCTGGCCACAATTTTTGCTGCCGCTCAGATGTTACCAACAACACTAGTCTTGCACGTGTGTGTAGCCTCGGCCACCGCACGTGCTGCGGAGGCCCCAAAACCCCACTCTCCCGAAACTGAAACTCGAATTGCTTTCAAATGGACTGGTATGCTGGACTGGTCGGCTCAAGAACGCGAGGGAGGGACGAGGAGACGAGGATGGAGCAGGATATAAATAGTCTGCGGTCGGCGACACGGGAGGGGCGGGCTTGAGCAAACGAGGCGACGGTGCTCTCTATGCTCCCTCCCCATGCCCCAACGTGCTCACAGAGAACTACCATTCACGAGCTCATTAAACCATTTCAGCACTGTGTCGGGGCCCACCCTCTGACAGACGATATGCAGACGCTGGCCACAATTTTTGCTGCCGCTCAGATGTTACCAACAACACTATTATTGCTCGTGTGTCTAGCCTCGGCCACCGCACCTGCTGCGGAGGCCCCCAAAACTCCACTCCCCCGAAACTGAAACTCGAATTGCGTTCAAATGGACTGGTGTGCTGGACTGGTCGGCTCAAGAACGCTCACCACCAGCCGCACCCGCGAGCGGCTCCTCATCAGTCAAGCTAGGGCTAGTGTCATTTTCCGTGAAACCGTCGCCCGTATTCGCTATGCGGTCCAGATCCAACAGGCGCGACTTTGCGCGCCTCCAGAAGGTGAGAAGGTACTGGGCGGCCCGCGCGAGTGCGCGGCTCACCCGGCGAAAGAGCCTGCGGGTCGAGCCCCCTGGGAGGGCGGGAGCGCCGTGGAGCGCCTCGGGTCCGAGGTCAAGCTCAGGCGCGGGAAAGCTAGATTCTGACAGGACCTTCAACTGCCCGGCCATGGACGGCGCCTCGGCCGTCTCATCCATGCCGAGCATTCCCCACACTGGATTTGCCCACTGCGGACGGGACCGAATCGCGACCACCCTCCAGGCGATCCCGACGTGGCCGCTGGGAAGCCAGCGGGCCCAAAAACTGACGGACTGGTACATTTTGGGAGAGCGGAACGCACTGTGTGTGAATCCACCCCTCGGCCTAGTGGCCGAGGAAAAGAGCAAAAGGCGTTCCAGCTCGTCAGAAAACTTCGTCTCGAGCTGCATGACCTGCTGGACCTCTGGCTCCTGGAGGAAGGCGGGCCAGTCGTCTTCATCCTCGACGAAAAACTTGCCAGTGCTGCCCTGCACTTGGGCGTCTAGCAGGTCCACGCCGCGCCAAGCCGCCTCGACCAGGCCGATCGACCCATTAGTCACTGCTGACACGAACTTCGCTGCGCTCGTGCTCACATTCGCTCCTGCAGTCACGATCTTCCCCGCTGCTGTCCCCACCTCTTCCGCAGCGTCGGTCATGGCGATGAGGCCCCTGGTAACGTTGGGGAAGAGGCTGGCGGACAAGATGCTCAGCAGCATGGTGACCAGCACGAGCTTGCCCAGAAGCGACCCGGACGGCGCGCACTTCATCAGCCACTGGAGCTGGCCGCCCTTGCCCGACGTAAGCGATTTGGCAAGAGACCGCCCCGCTGCCGCCTGCATCTTCGCGGCGGTCTTGGGCGTGGCCGGCAGCAGCGGCGGCGCTGCTGGCGGCGGCGGCGGCGCGGCTGTGCCCCACGGCTGCACTGGCGGGTAATAGGCCCCACCCATGCCCGGGCCCCCTGGGTTCTGCGGAGGCGGCGTGTCCGCGCGGTGCTGCATCGGCGTGGCGGGGCCCCGCGCCGAGCTGGCACCCGGGCTGCCCACCTCCAGCCACGAGCCCGCCTCCGAGCCCGACTCCGCGCCCTCGCCCCTGGCCAGCGCTGCCGCGCCCTTGCGGTGCGGCACCTTGACGCCGCTGGGCGCCCTGGTCTCCGCCATCGAAGGCACGGCGAAACGTATGGTACCAGTAGCGGGCGGCCCAGTCCAGGGCGGGCTGCAAACCGGCTGCGCGTAGAGCTGTGCCCACCTGCGACGCTTGAACCACATCGATATTGATGCGCAGCGAGGAGTCGACCCTCCACCTTCCCGTTTCTCTGATGGTCTCGAAAGGGATCCCGAGGGCGGCCGACTCAGAAGCAAAACCGGCTCGAGGGCTGTGCGGCCCCCAACCGACGTCGAGGTTGAACGAGGCCTGCACGGTCTTTATGAGGCTACGGTACTGGGCCAGGGAGACCGGGGAAAACCGCTGGCCCTTGGGAGTGTGACGGCGAAGAATCCTGAGGCCCTCTGCGAGGCCCAGCTCCTGCTCCTCCAGGAACGACACAGACTGTGGACGCTTGGCTTTCGTCATCGCCCGGATCCCCAAACCGATGACGACAGGTCCCGAGCCTCCAGGATAGCCTCAGTCCTCCGGGAGGGTGACGTCGTCAGCCTCTACCCCCAGCATTTCACTCGGCCTCATCCCGAACTTGCCCTGGATCACGATGCCAAACCCAAGACGTGGCACGCCTCTAGCACAAAAGTGAATACACATCCAGGCACACACGTTACTGATCATGGGGACGGTGTTAAGAGGTCGGTGAGCATGGTCCCAGCCCTTGAGGGTCGCCCTTGCCCGACACAGCCTCTTTCTTCATGCGCGGTGAGCGGGGCTCCACCGCCGCGAGGAGCAGGGTGAATTTGGATTTAGTCATGACCCCCATCCCCACGGCTTCGGAGCCCCCAAACCTGTTGAAGTCCATGATAGCGTCATCCCGCTGATCGGGGGTGAACGGCTCCACCCCTTCTCTGGCGCACCTCCTCACAAAAGGGACCACCGCCTCCTTATACTTGAGGACTGTAGCGGCTGTGACCCTCCCCTCCTCATGCACATCGACTACTTCTGAATCGTCCTGAACTGCTGGACGGCCTGGACCGGGCCCTGCGAGATGCCCTCTAACACTTCCCTCCATGTCGTACTGCGCGACGCCCAATCGGCAGGCATCCGCCACGTCTCGACCCAGGGCAGCAGCAGGCGTAGCTCAGCGGCGGCACAAAGGGCGCATCGGCGGCGGAGGAGGGAATTGAGCGGCCCCGCGGAGGACCCCCCCTTGGCAATGGCGCACGTGCAAGGCATGTTGTCCTCGAGCGATATCACCTTAATCCTATAGAAGTCCTGGACCTGCACCAACCTCTCCAGCGCCAAAACGACGGCACTCATCTCCCTACGGTGATGTGTTCCCCCCACCTCCACCTACCAGCAGCGACTGGGATCCAGGACCGGGGTGCCTCCCAGATCTCCTTCGGGACCGAGCTGACGGGGAGGTTGGGGTGGAGTGAGCGGGCGGCTTTGTCGAGAACGCGCTTCTCCTAGCCCAGGCGAGCGAGAGCGAATCCAGGCCTGGCCCCTGCCTCGCAGAGCAAGCGGGCCTCGCGGCCCGACATCACGGTGGCGACGATCCCGTAGCCCCCGCAATCAAGACCGTTCGGCCCCTCGGCATCCGTAGCCAGGACCACCTCCGAGATGGGCGCCCCCAGGTCCACGTAGAGCCCCATGAGACCACACCTCATAACCTTCCATTCCATCAGGGCACTGGGCCACCATTTTCGAAACCCTCGGCGCCCCTGGAGCCCCTCATTCTGCTTAGCGAACTGGAAGACATGCTGAGGAGCCGCAAGCCAATGCCGAGCCAGCAGCGCCGCCCAGACCCAGACTCCCAGGAGCGATGATACGACATCCCCAGATACACCCAGGAGCGACGTTCCAGGTACAGCATGGCCTCGTACAGGGCCGCGGCCTTCGGGGCAGGTAGTCTAAGCCGGGCAGGGTTCCGCTGGATCTCATAGCCTACAACCTTGTCAATTTCCTTGGATTCCTGGCGGTCGGTAACTTTTAAACCCAACTCCACTAGGTCGTCCGCGGCACGATTCATGAAATCGTCCGCGGCCCCCTTGGAGCCTATGTGGTCGCCGCCGTCCGTCATCGCCAGACCGTCATCGACATGGAGGTACAAGCCTACATCCCCGTTGTCCAAGACAGTGTTTTTTTTTCATCTTGACGCTAGTCTCATTCAGTATGTGGAGCCCCCGCTCGTGCCGGGAACTGCTCGGCCTAGACCATTGCGGAAGCCTAGCAGCACGACGCGGGGGTAAAACAGCAGCGAGCGGTTCTGACATCTCTCGGTGCCTCCTGACGAAGCTCCGGATCAAACGAGAGGCCAGGAAGCGGCTGAAGGCCGTCGGGTACGTAGCCAAACGAGTGGTCGCAAAGTCTGGCCGTCTCCCCTTCCCCGCTATCCGCCCGATGCTCCTGTAATGTTGGTGCTTCCCATCACAGCGGCACTCCCCCTCCCAAAGCCCATCGGCCGCGCCCGACAGCGTCGTCGCCTTGCGCGCCAGGCCGCCGTACAAGCACTGATCAACACTCACGCGCACGGCCGACGTGCGCTCCTCCATGGCACGCATCACCTCCGGGAAAAAACAAAAAAAAACGGAGGCATAGGGGTCCTCGCCAGGGTCTTCGTAATGTTCATGAATATGCACACCTCCCTGGGCGGAGACCCCCTCACAAAGAGACAGAAAGTTCAGGGTCAGAAGGTTGGACTCCCGGACGCGGCCCTTCTCAGCTTCCGTGAGCTCCGAGTCGGGCCGCCCCCGAACATATTTGCCTCGGAAACGCAGCGGCCTCAGACCCCGCAACAACTTGGCGAAGCGGGCCCGCGACCAGGTAGAGCACGGTGGCCCTCCGACTATGCCGTCGATGTAGCCCAGAGCCACCAGGCCCCATAGCTTCTGAAAGGTCTCCGGAATCGTGCGGCCCCAGTTGGGGCCCAGCTCGAGGTCACACGAGATCACCAGGATCTCGAGGTTATGCAAGGCCCCCAGGGTGTGAAGCCACTCCTCTAGATCTCCAGGCCGCCTCGGGCCCGCGAACAAGTGCATGGCGACAGCGATGTCCTTCCCAGACGCCTTAACCTCCATGACTTTCAGAACCCAACTGTCCACAGTGAACCCCGCACCTGAGTCCCCGACCTTCTTACCTTTGTTCCCCTGGGCCCAATCCTCATTGCTCTTACCCAAAAACTGGCCCTCCTCATTGACGTCGAAATCCTCTTCCGAGACGCCCCGCCAAAGGCCGCAGCTGCGTGCGAGAGTGCGGCCTACACAGGTCATGTTAATATTCATCAGGATGGGATGTGGACGCTGTGCGAGCCCCCCATGACCAGACGTTTCCACATAGGATAGATCCAGTCCCCAGACTGGGCCCGCTCCCGAACGTCCCAAGGAAGGGCGGCCCAGATCAGGCTGGCTCTGATTGGGGGTACAGCTTGCCACGCCCACATCCACTCTGGCACCTCCACAGACGTGAACGCATTGCTCTCGTCGAAGGCCGACGCGCTGAGGAAATCGCTCGGCACGCGCACGCTGGCGAGGGCCGCCCCGCCGTGGAGACCGTGCTCCTCTCGAGGACGGACATCCTGGAACATATAGTTAGAGGCCACCATCATAATAATCTGACGCTGCTTAGTGGGGTCCTTCTTGGGCACAACTGAGAAACCTGCTACAGCTCGGTTGTCTTCTCGAAAACCAAACTTCCAGAGATTAGTGGCCATGTCCCGCCTGAGGAAATATCTTGCGTACTCCTCCTCAGATCCTCCTACGAAACTGAACTGCTTCTCAAGCTCCCGGAAAAACGTCTGCGAGCGGGCCTCAGGGGCCACCACTACTCGGGCCTCCTCTGAGTAGAAGGCCGCCTCCTCCGGACTCAGGGCGGACAGCGTGGGCGCCGCTCTGGGATCCAGGGCCTCATCAACAGCGTCAGCTCGCAGGGCCTCGTGCGCGGTCTTGCGCCTCTGGGCTCCTGCATACGATAGGGAAACCGACTTCGCCAACTCCTCGATGGCTTGGGCGCCTGTCAGGCCGCAGCCCCGGCGCGCCTCGCGGAGACGCACTGCCTCGCGTAGAGCCAGTTGCTGAACCCGACGATTGTGAGGAAGCATCTCCTGCAAACGCGTCTGATCTCTGCTTCCTCGCGTGAGCTTTCGGCAATCTCCCCGATACATGGCATTCAACGAGGTGATATACTCATTGGCCAGTGTCATCAGGGCGAACTTCTTGTGAAAACGTTGGCGGAGGCGGTTGGGCGTGCTGTCGGGCCGCGTCGGCGCCTCCACCACAGGGGTCGGGTACAAACGGGCGCCAGGCGCCGCGTGCAGCAGATCGCGCAAACCCTGGGTCTCGTCCAGCACCTGCTTCTGGACCCAGCGGCCGCGCTCAATGCCTCGGATGGTAACTGCCATCCCAGCCGAGGCGGCCCTCTGTCACTCAGTCTTCTTCACCCCCCCTGAGGGGGGCCCTTCTTGGTCTGGTCCTTCTCGCTCTTGTCGCCCTTGCCGCCCCGCCGCTTCAGGTCAGCGGCCGCCCTCTCGTTCCTCTGGTGCTCCGCGTTGCCGTGGGCGGTGGCGGCCTGCGCCAACCAGCTCGGTGCCGCATCCGTCTGGCTGCCCGGAGTGGACACCCCCGGCATGTGGATCGCTCCCGTGCGATCCCCGGACCGACTCTCGTACATGTGCGCCGCCAGGCGGCGGAGAGAAATCTCCATGAGGTCGCTGGTACTCAAGAACTTCATCAGGTCGTCCTCGGTCCTGCAATCTCGCACTGCAAAGTCCACGGTGGACGCTAAGGTCCACAAACCCGTCCACGCAGGCGAAGAGCGGAGCCGCCGTATCGAGCCGACAACCAATCCCTCGTAGACGTACGACCTGCTCTCATCGATCGGTAGATCTCGGCGCCCGCCCTCTGCATGTCGGGCGGGAGGCTGGCCCCCCACCTGGTCTCCTGGCTGTTTCCCGCCGCCGACGCGAGCCCCCCCAGGCCCAGCGGGTCGCCCGCCGCGCCGCCGAGGGCGGGAGCCGCGCTGGAGGCCAAGGCCTCCAGGCCCCGGGCCAGGTCGGCCACCCTCGGCGCGGTGACGGTGCCCACGCCAACGTAGCCGTACCCGCGCAGGAGCTGGACCACGGCCGTGTCGAGCTGGCCGCCCTGCTCGAGCCTCACCACGGAGTCCCAGAACTTCGAGGCCCAATAGGGGTCCGCATGGGCGGTGGCGCTGGCCGCCGTCAGGTAGTCCTTCACCAGCGCGGCGCCCGTCCTGCTGGCGGCCCCGCTCTCAGCAGGCCGATGGACGGCCTCGGCTGCGCCTGCTGCCCCTGCCAAACCGGCCCAGCCCGCCAAGTCGCCCAGGGCGCTCGCCCCCGCCAGCGCGTAGCCGCCCACGGCGACGCCGCCGGGCGCGAGGGCGGGCGGCGGGGCCGCTGCGGCCCCCGGAATCCCGAACGGCACCGCGGCAAGCGACCCCTCGGGCCCCGCGGCGGGCGCCGCCTCGCCAGGGTCGCCGCCTGGCGCCATTCTCGACGCCCTCATCAGCGCGCGCGCATCTGCTCGAGCTCCTCCTTCAGCTGCGCCACCTCGCTGTCGGGCGGCGTCGGGCTGGCTCGCCGTGGCAGCCACTGCCAGGTCAGGCAGGCCGCGGCGCCCAGGCCTGTGACCAGGCTCGCTGCCGCCCCCCCTAGCGATGTCCGCCAAGTGGAGGCGCCTCGCGTCAGGTAGTAGCTCAAGGCGCTCACGATGGCCAGCGCCCCGCACAGCTTCAAGCGGGTCTCCCATGACCAGAGCGCGGGCGCCCCCGCTGCGGGGGCGGGCGTCATGGCACGCGACGTCGGGCGCAGTAAAGTAAAACGTGATCCCGCGTGCTGGAGCATACGAGGCGACGGTTGTCTCTATGCTCCCTCCCCGTGCCCCAACGTGCTCACTGAAAACTACCATTCACGAGCTCATTAAACCAGTGAGGAGGGAGGAGGGAGGAGGGAGGACGGAGGGAGGGAGGGAGGGAGGGAGGAAGGGAGGGAGGGAGGGAGCCGTCCCCGCCTCCCCGCCCCTGCGCGCGCCGAGGCGGCCGAGCCGGGCCGGCACGCCCCAGTGCGGCACGCCGGCCGAGAGGAGGGCTGCGCGCCGCCCCCTTCCCGACGAGCAGCGGCCAAGCGTCCCGGCTTGCCTAGAGAGGCCCAGGGGAGACTGCGCGGGGGCGCCCAAACGGGGGGGCCCCCCACACGTGGAGAAGTCCGAACCTTCCTCCGCCTCCCATCGATTCGAGAGAAGCGATTGTTGGTGGGGGGCGAGGTCGGATGTCGCCATCTACGCCCGTCGGCGGCGACGTCGTCGTCCTCGTCGTCTTCGTCCCAGACGTGCTCGCGGCGTGAGAGAGCAAGACGGACGGCTCCTGGCCGCCTCCGCCGCCCAAGAACGAGTCGATCGGGATGACAAGTTGGCTCCGGGGATCGGGCCGGACGGAAGGGGCGGATTGGGGAAAGGGGGGGTTACGAAATCTGCAACACGCAGCTGGTTTCGACCCCACCGAGGGGCCCACTCCTCGATACATAGCCGCCTCCGGCGCCGGGAGGCGCCGGGGAAATCATCAGCTACGCGAGCTGATTCTCAACTCCCCCCATTGCTATCCCCCCCTTTCGCCCGACCCGAGCCTAGAGGCCCACCGAAGAATGCGCGGGGGCCCCCAAACGGGGTGGTGGCCACACCGTGCGGTGAGTCGGTGGGGATTCGGGGTCGCCGCACGGTTTCGGGACTCGGGTCGTTCTCCGAGGCCGTCTCGGGCGACAGGGGCCTCTGGGGTCCCAAAACCGTGCGGTAACGGACCGTGCGGTGAGGTCTCTTGGGGTTCCGAGGTCACCGCACGGTCTGTCACCGCACCGTTTCGGGACTCCAGTATGTTCCAAGAGCCTTTCTGTGGTCTGCGCGAGGTTTTCTTAGAGCATTTCTGGCTGAGACTGTCTTGTTTTGACACATCGGGTTTGTGTTCCAAGTAACTATGTTTGTTTCGAACAGTTCTGGGTTCTAAGAATGTTTCGTGGTAGACCTATAGGAATGCTGGGACGGTCGGTCCCTGCTCAACCTCTGCCCGTTTTTGCCCCTCGGCGGCGGGATCCCAACCCGACGGTTAAGTCGAGTACGTCCCTCAACAGTGGGGAATACTCAAAAGTATTTGAAGCATAATTTGGGGACGATGTTTTGACTGTTTTTGACTAGTTTTTATGTTTGGGGTCTGTTTCATGTTTCGTCTAAACATCGCCTGTAGGAGGACATGCCCGACCTAACGAGGTTCGCGCCGTTTCGGCCGGCGGCGACCCCGTCGCCGGCGTTCAACGTTGAGCTCCGCCAGCGTCGGTCGATGTTGAACGATCTAACGTTTGGGAAAGGGCCCATCGTTCAATGTTGAGCGATCCCCGCGGTGCCAGAGGCCAACAATGAAGTCGGCACGACACGAGCCTGCCATTCCCTCGCCGATCCCCGGTTCAGGCATCTTGATGGGCTGCGGGGGTAGGGTTCCGAATTCGCCGAACACGTGGAGAAGTCCGAACCCTCCTCCGCCTTCCATCGATTCGAGAGAATCGATTGTTGGTGGGGGGTGAGTTCGGATGTCGCCATCTACGCCCGTCGGCGGCCACGTCGTCGTCGTCGTCGTCCCAGACGTGCTCGCGGCGTGAGAGAGCAAGACGGACGGTGCCTGGCCGCTTCCTGCCTCCGGGGGCCTTCGCTGGGCCCTATAGGGCCGCCCAAGAACGAGTCGATCGGGATGACAAGTTGGCTCCGGGGATCGGGCCAGAGGGAAGGAGGGCATTGGGGAAAGGGGGGTTACGAAATCTGCTGCATGCAGCTGGTTTCGACCCCACCGAGGGGCCCATTCCTCGATACATAGCCGCCTCCGGCGCCGGAAGGCGCCCTGTAGCTGATTTTCCCGGCGCCTCCTGGCGCCGGAGGCGGCTATGTATCGAAGAGGCGGCTCGGTGGGGTCGAAACCAGCTGCATGCAGCAGATTTCGTAACCCCCCCTTTCCCCAATCCCCCCCTTTCGCCCAGCCCGAGGGGAGCGGGTCGGGAGTTCCTGGGACTCCGTATCGAAAAATCAATACATCGAATCTCTGGGGTCGTCGTCGTTCGGGATTTCGGAGGCGTTTCTCGAGGTTCTCGCCGCCACGGCTGGACGCAGCTCGAAGAACTGCGGCGAGGCTGAGCCCCTGGAGAGGTCCAGCGACCGATGCTGAACTGATTCTGGTCGGGTGAGCCCGACGACGACGACGCCGATGACGACGACGGTACTGGTGATGGTGGCGGTGACGACGACGGCAGTGTTGAAAGAGGCATGTTGCTTTTGTTTGGTCTTGAGGGGTAGCCGTTCCGTGACCAGTTGGCGCGGACTTCTGCCGCCGGCGACGGCGGTGGGGCGACAGCTAAGGCGGCGACAACGGCGACGGCGTTCGAGGGTCGAGGCTTGGGAGATCGAGGGTTTGAGGTGTGACGTTTCTCGTGAGCCTCCCGGGTTGCCCTCGTGGCCGCAGCTGGATTCGCTTGCGGCCTCTCTCTCAACGGTGCCGTGGCAATAAGGTGTGGCGAGTCAGTGCGGATTCGGGGTGACCGCACAGTTTCGGGGCTTAAGTCGATCTCCGTGGATGTTTCTGGGGCGATTTGTGCTTCCGAGGTCACTTCACCGTGCGGTGACAGCCCGCGCGGTGAGGTCCTTTGGGATTCCGATTTTACCGCACGATATCGCCGCATCGTCTCGGAGTCCCAAAGAGTCGATTCGGGATTCTGGTCAGAACGCACGGATTGGTCCAGGGTGCGAATTTTGAAGGCATCAGCGTCGGCGACGCGGCAGTTCTGGTGTTATTGGTGACGTTTCTGGGGGTTCTCTTCGCCAAGGCCAGACATGGCTCGGAAGGCTGACTGGGACGGCGGCGGCGATCACGGCGACGGCGACGACGATGACGAATGGACGAGGACGAGGAGGGAGAAAGGCAGGCGATGAAGGAGGCAAGTGGTGGTCCCAATCGGAGCACTTCTCGTTACGGTCGGACTTAGGTCAGAGTGAGGGGGCCGAACGGTCATTCATATAAGATCGAGGTCGGTTCGGGAAGTTACACTAACGTTCTTCGTGTTTGTTGGACGTTCTTGCGTATCCTGGGGGAGGGTTACTCTCGAATGTTCTTCAGTTTGGCCAGCGGAGGGTCTCATGGTCTTGGAGGGTGAGATTCGGTCCTAGGTCTGGCCGTATTGTAACAGACTTCCCCCTCCAGCCAGCTCTACCCAGCAGCATCGAAGGATCAGTGGGGGAGCCCCAGACCCTAGACGCCTATCTTCCTGCGGCACCTTTCGGGCCGGAGCGGTCTGACCTCCTTGACCGCACACGCCTCCCCCGCCGTTGGCCCTCGAGCTTCCACCTCTCCCCACCGCCAGCGCTGGCACTTGTGAGGGGCAGCGGGTCGGAGAGCGGGCGGGTGGCATGGGCAGGAAGGCCGTGGGCACGGTCAGCCCAGGTGCACGCCCTCCCCACGCGGGGCCTTGCCAGGTACCGGGCCACGCAGGACCCCACTGGGCACTGCGCAGTGGGCGTCGCCCAGGTCCCCACGTGCGCCACGCGCCGCGCCACGGCACCCACGAGCCAAGCCGAAGGCGCCACCACCCTCCCCTCCCGGGGGGTGAGGTCGCCGCTCGGGTCCAACCCCTTCTCGCCTGTCAACCCAAGTCCACCTCTCAACTCCTGCAGGCTGCGCCCGTTGCACTTGCCTTTGTCCGCCACCAGCGCCCCTCCCCTCCCGCGCACCCACACGGCCCACCCCCGCGGCGCCGCCGCTTGGCACCACGTTTCAGTTCAGGATGTGTGCACCTCCTGTCCCTTCCTCTTGAGTTCGGGACACGATCTGAGGGTGGTGGCTTCCCTTCTGGGACGAGCCGAGGTGGATCCCTCTTTCCCCCCTGAGAAGAAGAGGGGCCACGTCCGGGCCACCTCAGGACGAGCACCGCCCGCTGGCGCCCACAGGCGCCCACAGCCCCCACCGTTCCTTGTCTTCCCTTGCCACGTGCGTCGCGTCCGCCGTTCTGTCGTTCCCTTCGTCCCTCTCTTACCTTTTTCTTCCTGTCATTGCCCTCCCACCAGCGACGCTGGTGGGGAGGGGTCGAGGGCCTCCCTCCCGAGGACGCAGGACGCAGAGTCTGCAGCTCTGAGCTCTGAGCTGGTGCGACGGCTGTTTCGGGCACGCCTTGGCGGAGGTGTCCTGTGCGCCGTGGCGCCATCCGCCGCGGCCCGAGCAGTGTCTTCCCGGCCGGCCTCCACATGGAAGGCCGCCTGGGGCTGCAGAGCAGGACGGCCCGGCTGCGGGATGCTCTCGCCGAGCCGCCCGGCCAGCCGTGGCCGCGGGCGGCGAGGAGCGGGGGAGGAGGGGGAGGAGAAGGAGGCTGGCGAGGGCTTCTCAGACGCCCCGCGGCCTTCTGCGAGGGCGTCCCCCTCCTCGCCTCCGCCCTTCGTTCGCTGCCAGGTCCGGGAGGGCGAGGCGGGCGAGGAGGAGGCCCCCCCGGCAGCGGAGGACCCTGGCGCCCGGCTGCCCGGGCACGCCCGGGACCCCGGGGGGCCCCTCGCCGGGGGGCGCAGACCTGCGCGGCAAGGCGCCCCACCCCTCAAATTCTCTTTGGCCTCCTCGTCCTGCTCGTCCTCCTCCTCCTCCTCGTCGTCCTCCTCATCCTCGTCCTGGTCCTCGTCCTCTTCCTCCTCCCTTTCCTCCTCCTCCTCGTCCTCCTCCTCCATCTCCTCCTCCTCCTCCTCCTCCTCCTCTTCCCCCCCCTCCTTCTCATCCTCCTCCTCCTTCTCCTCCTCGTCTTCTTCCTCCTCCTCCTCCTCTTCCTCCTCCTCTTCTTGTTTCTCATCATCCTCATCATCCTCATCGCCGGGGGGTGCGAACCTGCGCGGCAAGGCGCCCCGCCCCCCCGGTTCTCTTCGTTCTCCTCGTCTTCCTCCTCTTCCTCCTCCTCCTCCTTCTCGTCCTCCTCCTCCTCCTCGTCCTGGTCCTTGTCCTCCTCCTCCCTTTCCTCGTCCTCCTCCTCTTCCTCTTCCTCTTCCTTCTCCTCCTTCTCATCCTCTTCCTCCTCTACTTCCTCCTCCCCCTCCTCGTTTTCCTCTCTTGTTGTTCCTTCTCTTCCCTTATCTTCCTCAACATCCATTCATGTGCGTTATGGGTAATGAAGGGAAGCGATAAAAATCGCCCCCCCCCGGACCCCCCAAAATGATTGAGTGAGGCGGACTAATAAAATTCAGCCGCCAGAAGCTGTTTTTTTTAATCGTCCGCCCCCCGGCGTTTGCTTTTGCCCTTTCGGGGGAACTGTTTTTCTATTCGTCCTCCTTCGCTCGCTTGATCACCCGCGGCCGCGGGGGGAGGATTGCGGAGGGGGGGCAGCGTAATCAGGGAGTAGTTGAGTGAAGGGGTTTTCGAAGAGGCGCTTGATCACCCTCGTCCTTGCGGACGGCCGCCGGTCGTCCTTGCGGACGGCCGCGGCGACTGGGAGGTGGGGGATGAGGAGGAGGAGGAGGAAGAGGAGGGGGGGGGGCAAGCTAGGTGCGCTCGCGTCATATATGACAGCCTACCCCTCCCTTCCATCCCTTACCATGGCGTAGATCCCCTCTCTACTCGCACAGTCGGATGTCGAGCAGGGCAATGATCCCGAAAGGGTACGCGATGCATTGTAGAGCACGGCATGGCATGGCGTTGAGGGAGGAGGAAGAGGAGGAGGAGGAGAAGGAGGCGGAGGAGGAGGAGGAGGAGGAGGACGAGCTCGCCGTGAAAAGTCACCCCGTCCACCCCCCTGGCCCCCTCGCCCTGGATCTCCACCCCGTGCCCCCCCCCCCCCCTGGCCTTCCAGGCAACCCGGAATTGTCAGCCCCCCGTCTGCCTGCCCTGCCCCCCCGCTATTGCGGGGGCGAGGAGGCCCGCGAAACATTTGTTTTCATTGCCCGCCCCAGAACGTTTTGTTTTTTGTTATAAAACAGCTTCCCTTTTTTAAAATTCATTTCTCCATGTCACACCCCGAGGCCGGTCAAAAGGGCGGGTCGGACGTTTGGCTTAAGACTTCCTTACTTCTGTTGATTCTGATGTTGAGCAGTTGACAACCGTTTCACACATGGAGGGCGGGTGGTTTTCAAAATGTGGTTCTTTCGTTAGTTCCCCGCACACCGTTGTTCAATATTTTTTTGTCCGTGCTTCACGGGTTGAGCGCCGGTCGTTTTCAAAAGGTTGTTCTCGCCTCAGTGTCGCGCGCATTCGTTTTAAAGGCATCATTGAGGGCGGGTCGTTTTCAACATGCGGCTTTCGCTTCAGAGCCGCGCGCGTTCGTATTAAACATGTGCAAGAGCATCTCGGATTGAGGCGTCTCGTCTTCGATTTGCGGTGACCGCTCCAGCGCCGCAAACATCCGTATTACACACTTGCAAGAGCTTCACGGATGGAGGGCGGGCCCTTCTCAAAGTGTGATTATTGCCCCAGCGCCGCGCACATTCGTTGGCACAGTGTGCGAGGGCTTCTCGGATTGAGGGCGGCTCCATTTCAAAACGTGGTTCTCGCTTCAGCACCGCGTGCAATTTTTTCACATGTCACAAGCTTCATTGGTCATGATGGTCCTCCTGATTGTCCAGTGTCAGAAAGGGCGTTCTGGATCCATTCAGGATTGTCAGGGCGTAACAGTTACTTGTATTCGCGGTGAAGTCCTGGGACTGGTGTTGTGGCGCGGTTGATGATCGCCAAGACGTTACAATTAGGTGCACCCGTGGCGGTGAATTCCAGAGAATGGTGTGTTGGCACGCTCAAATATGCTCACACGTTTTACCCCCGAGCGGGGCAAGCCCCTCATTGGAAATGACCCCTTTTTGTGGGGACCTGTGAAGAGGAATCTTGGAGGGAGGGTGTATTCCTACATTGCTGACGAGTCTTGGGTTCGAACTGGTTTTCCTCTTCCTCCCCCTCCCCGCTTTCAACGTTTTCCTCCTTCTCGTCGCCGTTCTCCTCCTTTTCCTTCCCCTCCCCCGCCTCCTTTTCGTCCTTTTCCTCCTCGTCGGTCGTCCTTTTCCTCCTCCTCCGCCTCCTTTTCCACCTCGTCCTTCTCCTCCTCCGCCTCCTCCTCCTCCTCCTCCTCCTCATCCCTCCTCGTCCTCCTCCTCCTCCTCCTTCTCCTCCTCCTCCCGTCACTGCTTCCCCACCCTCTTCTGCCGCATGTGACGGCTACGGCTGCCCGATGGGCCTCAGACCCCGCGCAGCTTCCAACATCGGGGCGGCGTGGGTCCCCCCACACCTGTTCATGACGGCGTCAACAGCCACAGCAGGGGGCCGAGGACTTTTCTCCAGAGACCCTCGGCCAACGAAGACTTCCCTAGCATAGGGCCCAACGTACCTCCAGAACTTTGCACGTTCTCGTATTGTGGCGCCAGGCAACCTCCCAGTATGTGCAGATTCGCCCCCCACGCGGCTTCTCTCCTTGAGGCCGCGAGCGGGGCTTGAGATTCCCCCGCCAGCCCACTTTGCGTGACAACGTCGGTTCTCCCTTGCATTATGGCATGATGGCCGCCCCCCGCCTTTCAACCTGCCGCCAGAGGGGTGTGAAACATTGCCACGCCCCGCACTTGTGCGCGACGGGTCGACCATTGCCTCTCCGGCGTCCCTTTCTTGGGGGTCGCCCCCGCCCCCCAGCACCCGACCCGTCTCACGAAGGACAGGGACCACCCCCAAACCGCAAGGGGCCTGTGCTTTCGCTTGTTGTTGCTTCGGCGCTCTGCCAGGGCGCCCTCGAGGGCGCGAAGTTCTTCGCGCTTCGCGGTTCGGCTCCGAGTCCTCCTCATCCCCCTCTTCCCCCCCCTGGGAGGCGGCGCGAGAGCGCGAAGTTCTTCGCGCTCTCGCGCCTCGCGCAGCGCGCGAGCGCGAAGCTGGGAGCCCCTGCTCTGGGGGGGGGACATAACCCTCCCCGCCCTCCGACCCTCTGCCTCTGCCCCCCGTTGGCCTCGCCTCCGGGCGCGGCTGCCATTTCGAGGCAGCTGTTGTTATTCCGCGCGGCGCCGTGGCACCGCCCTGTGGCCCACCTCCGCCCACGCAAGGTGTTCCTGAGGCAGGGGGGGCTCTGCCGAGATAGCGTTCCATGCGCACGCCCGACGGCGAAGGTCACGTGCTGGAGCGACGACGCCCACCCCCCGTGGCAGGCAGACGCCAGCGCAGACAGTCAAAACACCCCTGCTCCGCTGCGCCCCGCAGACTTTTTTTTGCTCGGGGGGCCGCCCCGCGGAGGCAGCCTCTCTGGAGTCCCGAAGCGGTGCGGTGACGGACCGTGCGGTGGCCTCGAAGTCCCCCAAGACCTCACCGCACGGTCCGTCACCGCACGGTTTGGGGGACCTCGGAGGCCCCAGTCGCCCGAGACGTCCTCGGATAGGGACCCGAGTCCCAAAACCGTGCAGTGACCCCGAATCCCCACCGACTCACCGCACGGTGTGGTCACCACCCCGTTTGGGGACCCCCTAGCCTCTCTTCTGCCTGGCAGTACATGTGTTGGCGGGAGCCAGAAGGTTTCTCCGTTTGGTTTGCTTTTCTTCCCCACGTGCTTCGTGGGGTTCTGGTTTTCTTCCTTGCCGCGCCGCACCCGCGACACTCCTACACACACCTCACTCTTCCTCTCCTCCTCACAACACTGCTCAGCACATCTCAGCTCAGCACGGCACGGCACAGCTCAGCACAGCACAGCTCAGCTCATCTCAGCACAGCACAGCGCAGCACAGCACAGCACAGCATCGCTCAGCCCAGCTCAGCACAGCACAGCTCAGCTTACGGGGTGCGCAGGGGGTGGACCCTCACCGCGGCCGCACGCAGGAACGCAGGGTGCGGCAGGCGTGGCAACGTCTCCATAACAGAGGCGGTGCGCGGGGGGGGGGGCGGTCTCTATGCGTTGCAGGCGCGCAGGGCACGCCAGGCGCGGCACTCTCTCGACACCAGGAGGGTGCGCAGAGGGTGCGGTCTCTATGCGTTGCAGGCGCGCAGGGCACGGCAAGCGTGGGAATTCTCGACACCTGAGGGATGCACAGGGGGTGCGGCCTCTATGCGTTGCAGGCGCGCAGGGCACGGCAGGCGCGGCACTTTCTCGACACCAGGAGGGTGCGCAGAGGGTGCGGTCTCTATGCGCTGCAGGCGCGCAGGGCACGGCAGGCGTGGGAATTCTCGACACCAGAGGGGGTGCGCAGGGGGTGCGGTCTCTATGCGTTGCAGGCGCGCAGGGCACGGCAGGCGCGGCACTTTCTCGACACCAGGAGGTTGCGCAGGGGGTGCATGCGTTGCAGGCGCGCAGGGCACGGCAGGCGCGGCACTTCCTCGACACCAGGAGGGTGCGCAGAGGGCGCGGTCTCTATGCTCATTGGTCCGAAAGATACCCGTACCCGGGGCCGGCCAAAGTGAGATGGGCCGTCCTGGGGACTGGGCGCTTGCTACTGTGCCCGGTCAGCTTGCCCCGCGCGCGCCAGTGCAGCATCCGCGCGTCAAGACGCAACGGCGCGCTCGATGGTTGGGTGTCTGATTGCAGCGACAAGCGCGGGTTTTTGTTAGGGACATCTCGGGGCATCGTGGTGCGTGCGCGGTTCAAAGCCGCCC